CCATCAATTGTGATTGGAGGATATCAATTGGAAGAGAACTTGTTGGTATTTGATCTTCCACATAAGAAGATAGGTTTCAGCTCTTCACTCAAGCTCCAACAAACATCATGTTCAAAGTACGATAACACCTCTAATTAGAATTAACGAGAACCTTCTTACCAAGACACATATATGAACTCTTATTTTTATTTTCAAAGTTCTCATTTCTATTTTTTGTTTTCTGTGCTCGTTGGAATCAATAACAGTAACATGTTGAGCTTATCAAGTTGTACTAATAAGATGACTTAAATCCTATTAACACTTGTCTTACTCTCAGTTGGATTTATTTATTGTGAAGAGAAAGTCATGTCCTTTTTTTTGGTGATAATTTTCTAAAGTATTCTTTCATATTAGCCTTCGTAGCACTAACTTCTCTTTTTATTTGTAATATATAATTCAATCTCCGCCATCTTTTGATTACTCTATATATGTAGCTATTTTTTAGTTGTTATTTTTTTTTGCTAGTTAGTTATAATATGACCAATTCATAATAACTGTATGTCTGTATCACGTGGTACTGTGATCAACAGTTTAATGGACTAGAATTTGAACTACATATGGTCATAGTCCAAATGATTCCCTGAAAACTATGAAGACAAATTAAACACAGCTTCAGGGAGATTTTATTTTTAAAAAAAATCATCACTAAATTAAAGTTGGAAGTTTTAAGTGTGGGGGTTAGGCTCAATCCCGATCATGTCTATTCCAACATAAAGTTACATTTAGAGGGAGACATGGATCAAGCCTCTAAACCCCGATATGGTTGTTTGAACTTGACCCTCACATGATTTCATGGAAAAACTTTGTGAGTAAGAAAAGTTTTGAACTCGGCTTAGTGCAAGAGGTCTCTAATGACCCTAAATCACATCTGACACACCTCCTACACTTGGTAATGAACCTTAATACACATGAACAACTAAGAATCATCCGATACGAGACAAAAAATAGTTCGGATCTTAGCTTAGAAATTTGGGGGTGTTACAAACCCATTAGGAGGAGAAGTGATTTAAATCTATAAATGTTGAAGTCATTTGAAAAGGAAGAAGAGAAAATATGTTCCCTCTTATATTCCATTGTTGTGTTTTCATATCTATTAAATCTTTCTTCTTTTTTTGTGCTCCCGATTTTATACTAGAAGAGCTTGTTCTGTGGAATACATTTATATCAGGTGAAATATCCTTAACATAATGTACTTTTTTGGCAGGCCTCAAGCTATAAGTGTTTGTATTTTTCGTTAGATTTCCAATGGCCCTAGCTAAGTATGTTACAATTTCTTACAACCATACAAGACCAAAATAGATAATATTCCTACAGGAGAATGAGCTTCTTCCATACGAGGCAAGAGACTCTCCTTAAGAATGAACAAGTTCCCGATGGAAGACGAAGATGAGAAATTACACACACTGTAATTGTATAGGTTTTATCTCTCTCTTTGTCTTTTGCTCAAAGTACTAGCGATAGATAGATGGATAAATATAGAGTATATATAGTAAGTATACTATAATAGACAAGAGGCCAAGTGACATTATTTTATTATCCATTTAAGAAGTCAAGAATCGATGAACATTGACTCAATAGATAGATATTGCCTATCCATAGATCATAATATCACTACACCAGAATAGGGTTTTGTGGCAATTAGTTAATTACCGCTAATTTATACCCTAAAGTCACTTATTAGCGGCATTTATATTGTTGCATGTAAAAGAGAGGGAGAATGAATTATAGGTGACAAAAAAGTGTTGAAATGTAGAAAGAGTGACTCTAGTTTTAATTATTAAGTGTAGGTGACAAATTTTTAATTAATTTTTAAAAATAATTAAATAGGTCCTCAAGGTTTTGTTTTTACACTTTCACCCAAATTTAAGTAAAACCCTGATTTCTAAAGTAGGAAAACCCCCAAATCAGTTTTTCTTTTTGTTCTCTCCCAACGTCCCGCTCTTTTCACATTTTTTTTTGCTTCTAATCTTCATCACTAGCGCTTCTTCTTCTTCTTCTTCTTCTTTTTGTTGTTCTTTTATTGGTGTTGCAACTTATTGAAGATTTCTTATTTGAAGAATTTGAGAAGGGAAAATCTCAAATTTTAATTTAACACGTGATTTGAAAAGGTCTAAACTTTAGAAATCACTTCTTAACTGATAATTTTCAATCATTTTAACAAGTTAATAGTATTGTTTGTGTGTATTCATTTAAAGTTTTTATTTTTGTATTATTGTTCTTGCCACTGATGTATAATAATTTTCAGCAACTGATATGACTATTTCAGTAATTTACAACAATTGCTAAATGTTGTTGTTGAATAAATTGCCGTAACTGCTATATATATTTCAGCAGCTGCTAAATAACTTACAACAATTGTGATATTTTAATATAATTTTTTTATGATCAATTTTTTAGTTCTAAGTTACAATATTTTCAGGTATCTTCAACATCATTAATGGGGAGATAGAATAGTAGTACCAGTTGATTGTAATGGTGAATGGATTGAGTCCAACAATCGTTATATTTGGCGTTTGGAAGAGTAAAGAATTGCCCGCGACAATTGCGATGATTGTGCATCGAGATATTGCATATCATGATTTTGCGAATAAAATCACTACTTGTTGTAAATTAAATTGTGAGTTGGTAAGATATTGTGATCACTTACCTGCATAGTTGTGGTGAAAAGCAGAAGACGGTTCCTTTTAAGATAAATGATCAACTTAGTTTAAGTACTTATTTGGAAGATGAACCTAGAGGTGTTTTAAGGATCTACATGGTTGAAAAATTGGTGGAGAATCATAATTTATGTGATGACCAACAAGTGTTTGAACGATGAATGTGGTAGGATGAATATGAATATTCCGAATGAAGAGCGTGAAGGTCAACATATTCTTTCTCTTGAAGTTCGGAATGGATTGCCCATTATTGGTGAAGTTGCTGATAGGCAAGTACTATGAACTCATAAATTTACTTATTTCTAAAAGTTCATCCTCTTTGTACACTTAATTAATTCTTGCTTTAGCTGATAATTAATTAACTTAATGCAGTCATGCTCAAGATGATGGAACCGATTTTTACAAAGATATGTCGTTTAAAGAATAAATAAGAATTAGATATTGCATTGAAAATTGCTTGTGTCAAAAAAGATTTTAGATTGAAGAAGGTAATTAATTCGTGTTCAGTGTATTGTGTCAAATGTGAGCATCTTGAGTGCAAGTGGTGGCTAATAGGGGTGAAAGTTGAAAATTCTGATAGATTTTATATTAAAAAGTATGACAAAATGCATACATGTGGCTCGGAACATCTTATGAGTCATAATCAACACACCACAACAAAAGTCATTGGAGCAAACTTCAAAGATAGATATCCCGAAGGTAAAGGTGCATCTACAAAAGATTTGAAAAACTCTATCCGTATTGAATTGGGATGCAAGGTTAGTTATTAGAAAGTTTGGATGGGTAGTGAGATTGCAAAGTCTTTGGTAAGAGGGACACATGAACATGGATATGGAGTGATTGATGTGTATAGTCATACTAGTCTCTGGGTACGTGCGTTGCATGTGTATCTCATATGAAAAGCAATAAAAAAAAATTAAAAGTATATAATAAACTATTAAGAGGACATGATGTTTTTTACAAGTGTTTTTCGATATTTTCGATCTGCTGCTCAATAGATAAGTCTCAAAATAGGTATGGTCAAATTAAGTTTACCCGTCTATAAGCAATTAAATGTACATACAATCATCAACAACTAAAAAATACATAAAATTCTGGTCAACCAAAAGGTGATTAGATATCAACATTTGTAAAATATTCCAGGAAAAGCACGACAAATTAAAGAATTAAAAAGGACAAATGCGATGTTACTTAAAGTCTTCTTGAACTTCTTGTATTCTTAATGTGTGTTTTGTTACAAATACAACTACTTCCTTATAGACTTTCAGATATACCTAGACTTACATTTATAGGCTTACAACTACTATCCATCACTGCTAGAGAAGACTTGGAGTTGCTATATTTGTTTAAGAAAATATGATAATGTGATATATTTTGCTAGCAAACAACTGCAATTTCAATATATTATTAATAGTATAAAATTTATAAAGAATAGTTTCTTTTCTACGAGAACTATCATAGCAGTTAACTATTATGTTTAGTTTTTCGGAACACTTCTAATATATGATTATAAAATAGTTTCAACTGCAATGCTTAGAATTAAAGAGAGTTGATCATCATTCAGCATCAAACCACATGTGTACAACACTCATTTTTTTATGTGTGATTATACCGTTTAAGCTATTTATTGTACCTATTAAAAAAATTAAAAAATTATCATTCAAATGAAGTTAGCAAATCAAACGGAAAAATCTAGAATTAATAAGATTGTACCTGAAAATTAGAAGACACTTTTATACCCGCTTAACAACGGAAGCATATGCTGAATGACTAATATTGAGTAAGTTTATATAGTGTAGTTTTGAAGATTTGATGGTAAAAACTCTTTGATATTCCTCAATTACTTAATTTGATTCCTTTCAACTTCTCATAATTAGCAAAATACGTTTCAACTTCTATATTAATTGAAACTTTGTTAATGTTCATCCATTACCATCAAAAGAAAGAAAAAGCTGAGTATAATAATCTTTAAAAAAGAATATAATGTTTCGTTGTTTCACACAATAATTGAGAGTGAGTAGACTGCTGAACTTCTCATTTTACTCCTCTATTATGTAATTCAAATATTACTATTTAATTAGCTATTTAATCTATATTTAGATTAATTATTTTATTACATTTTAATTTAGTATAGGGGTAAAATAGTAATCCAACTTTGTACTTTGGAGCTTCCCACCTTTAATAATATATGATGCTTAGGACATCTAATTCGGGAAGTAAAATGGCGTTGAAGATTGATGAAAATGGCAGGTTCAAGTACTTTTTTGTGGCATATGGAGCTTGGATTTCTTGGTTTTCGTACAAATGAGAAAAGTCATAGCTGTTGATGGGACATTTTTGAGAAGTAAATATGGTGGTGTGTTGTTGTCTGCTGTTGCACAGGATGCGGGGAATCATATTTTTCCGGTGGCATTTTGCGTAGTAGACTCTGAATGTGATGCTTCCTACCGATACTTTTTCGAGCAATTGAGAAGTTTTGTACTTGATACTCCTGAATTGTGCATAATCTCTGATAGACATCAAAGTATTAGAAAGTTGGTTTCAATTGTATTTCCTTCAGCTCATTATGGTTGTTGCATGAGGCACTTAGGAGAAAATATTCAAAATAATTTTCACAATGCGAGTGTTGTCTACCACTTTTATAAGGCGACAAAAGCATACAATATTGATGTGTTCAGTGATCATTTTAATCGGATAAGAGATTTGGTTCCACAGGCTGCCACACATCTTGAACGCGTTGAATTTCACCAATGGAGCAAGGCATTCTTTCCCGGAAATAGGTAAAATTTATTATAGTTATTATTGATAGTTGGTATAACTACTGCAGTTTTTTATAGCTATTGCTGTAATTTTTTATAATAACTGCTACACTTATTTCAGCACCTGCTGAGAAATATGCAACAATTGTTATAAACACATACTTATAATATATTATTGGACACTTATATGTTACAGGTACAATATTATGACGACAAATATTGTTGAGTCGGTTAAACTCAAATGTTTCTTGATGAAAGAGAATATCTCATTACTGCTCTATTTGATGCAATAAACAGGCGATTTGCAGAAAAATTTCATGAGAGGCATATGAAATTCATTAATGCACCAACCATATTTGTCCCTTCGATAGAAAAAGACTTGCAAAAAATATTAATCAGGGGAACAAGCTATTGGTCTATCAAACTGCCAACTACAAGTATATTGTCACCAGTCATGATGAATTTGCAACAGTTGATTTGCTAGCCAAATCTTGTACTTGTAAAGTCTTTGACATTGACAAAGTACCTTGTCCACATGCTATGGCAGCGCTTCGATGCCAATATGGTGATGACTATGGGAGACGCATTTATAAGTACTCCTCTTCGTATTACAAAGTAAAGGTATACCTTATTGCATATGTGGAGGAAATTAAACCGGTTCCATCTTAAGAAACTTGGGAAGTTCCTACTGAGATTTTAGAGAGAAAAATATCTTCTCCATTTGTTGAGCCAGGCAAGGTTGGAAGAAGGTCCTCAAAAAGACAAAAAAGAATCGGGGAATCATTTTCAATGAAGAAAAATAAATGTTCTTTATACAAACGAATTGGTCACAAGAGGACTACATGCTCTGAGTGAAATGTTGCATAAAAACACATTTGTTCTTCTTATTTTTTGTGAACATATTTGATCTTATCTTTTTTGGTACTAATTGTTGTTTTTGTTGTTATTATTTGTGAACACATTTGATCTTATCTATTTTGGTACTAATTGTTGCTATTTTGATTGTGAGAGCATATTTGATTTTATTGTTATTCTTATTAATACTTTATTACTTGTTGTAGAGAATTTTAGCAATTGCTATATAAAGTACAACAACTTACGTACTTTTCTGTAGAAAAATTCAGCAACTGCTATGAAAAGTACAATAATTTTCATGCTTATTGTAGAAATTTAAACAATTGCTGTAAAATAATATAACAACTCGTTTAACTGCCGTAGAGAATTGTAGCAATTGCTATGAAAAGTACAACAATTTACTTATTTGTTGTAGCATATTCAAATAAAATTACTAGCTATTCTAGATTTTCTTTTAAAATTAGTCAAAACTATCCTATTTATCATGGAATATGATTAATATAACTAATTAACAATCAATTTATCAATTTAAGTTGATTACATGTGAAATTACTTAATTGATCGTCTGGTATCTCAAATAACTATCTTATTATACAAGATCACTATCTAATATAAATTTTTATTTTTAAATTAAATCAACACTACTTTATTTATCATTAAATATGAGTGTGTTACAACCAATAAACAATCAATTACTCATTATAAATTGATAACATGTGAAATTGTAATGGAATTGATCGTCTGGTATCTCAAATAACTATCTCATTATACAAGATCACTATCTAATATAAATTTTTATTTTTAAATTAAATCAACACTACTTTATTTATCATTAAATATGAGTGTGTTACAACCAATAAACAATCAATTACTCATTATAAATTGATAACATGTGAAATTGTAATGGAATTGATCGTCTGGTATCTCAAATAACTATCTCATTATACAAGATCACTATCTAATATAAATTTTTATTTTTAAATTAAATCAACACTACTTTATTTATCATTAAATATGAGTGTGTTACAACCAATAAACAATCAATTACTCATTATAAATTGATAACATGTGAAATTGTAATGGAATTGATCGTCTGGTATCTCAAATAACTATCTCATTATACAAGATCACTATCTAATATAAATTTTTATTTTTAAATTAAATCAACACTACTTTATTTATCATTAAATATGAGTGTGTTACAACCAATAAACAATCAATTACTCATTATAAATTGATAACATGTGAAATTGTAATGGAATTGATCGTCTGGTATCTCAAATAACTATCTCATTATACAAGATCACTATCTAATATAAATTTTTATTTTTAAATTAAATCAACACTACTTTATTTATCATTAAATATGAGTGTGTTACAACCAATAAACAATCAATTACTCATTATAAATTGATAACATGTGAAATTGTAATGGAATTGATCGTCTGGTATCTCAAATAACTATCTCATTATACAAGATCACTATCTAATATAAATTTTTATTTTTAAATTAAATCAACACTACTTTATTTATCATTAAATATGAGTGTGTTGCTCGTGATAGAGGAAACTAACTTTACTAAGTGGATCCACTAGCTTAACTTTACGTGATCATCTAAAAAGTATGACACGTTAAATCCCATGTTGGCTACATGGTTCCTATGGAGAGTTGAGTTAATATGAACTCGTGTCCCCAATTCGGTGCTCAAGACTACTCCCAAAAATACTTTAGCTCATAAGTGTTTTAAACACATCTTTCTTTAGTTTGAGATAATTACTCAAAATCTAGCCCAAAGGCTCACTTGGAATCGATGTTCCTTTTTCTTGAAAACTAGCCCAAAGGCTCTTTTGGAATCATAGTTCCTTTCTTACTCAAATGTAAAAACATTTAGAAACTTCTTTGGGAATACATAGTTCCCTAATAACTCTTGAGAAATGAATTCAACTCTATACTCTCGACTTAACTTGAAACTTGAGCCTTAAAATGAAGTTAAAACGTTTAATAAAGACTCTTGAAAAACTTTAAAGACTTGCTTAGACTTACTTCTTAACTTCTAAGATTGACTCTAACTTCACTTGACTTTGATCCAAACTTTCCTCGAATTGGATTATGAATTCAAGCTTCTTACCTTCTAGACTTGACTCTTACTTCACTTGACTTTGATCCGAACTTTCCTCGAATTGGATTATGAATTCAAGGTATATGATCACACGTTTATGGATGAGTTCTTGACGTTTAGACATACCTTGGAGTGTCAAAAATAACTATGAAACATAGGTACATTACCAAGGAACATGCATAATAAAGTGGGGAATGAATGGGAAAGGTTGGCGTCCTTAGCGCTCTGAGAGGCGCGGGGAGCCAGCCCTAAAACTTCAGAAGGAGCCTACTGGCGCTCTGCTAGGCGCGGTGCCCCAAGGGGGAAAGTTCAGAGCCCCTTTTGGGGCGCGACTCCCCACCCTTTTTCCCCAAAAAATCGACTTTTCTCCTTAGTTTCTCCAACTCTAAAGCCTCTCAACAACAAAGATTCTTCCCCCCAAACACTTAGAATCATTAAGACCCTCAACATGCAAAAGATTCAACTCAAAAACACCACCGGAAACATACACCAAACCAACAAAAACTTCAACACAACACAACTACAACTTCAACAAACATCACCACAAGATTTCAACAACCACAACTAAATCTTTTCGCGGAATTTAAAACGAGTTTGGCGTGTGGGGGAAAGAACCAACCCAACACTATGATCTCACATACCTTAATAGGGATCACCCCCGACGAAAATCACGACGATCTTTACGGAGTTTGCTTCTTCTTCTCCTCTCCTTTTCTCCTTTTCTCTCAAGAACTCTAACTCTTACTTTTAAAAGGGAAAACTGATTTAAAATCAGTCTACCAACTTAATATATCCAAAACAAATGATTAGGGAAAAGACCAAAATACCCTTACAATTTCCGGACTGACTTCCCTTACCAACAGCCCAACTTCGAAAGGGAATAACTCACTCATACGAACTCGAAATCGAGCAAACTCAGCGGCGTTGAAAAGATCATTCCACGGGATTCGTAACCATAACTGGAAATACACCCAACTCATCCTGAGCTAGGAGTTATGACTGTTCAAAGTTGGCCAAAAACTCACTTTTTCCCATACTTAACCAAATTTTCCAGATTTTTATATTCTTTCCAAAAATGACTATTTCCAATTCTACGCCTCTTCATAGTTATTTCAAATTGCTGGATGTTACAACAACAACTCGTTTAACTGTTATAGAGAATTGTAGCAATTGCTATGAAAAGTACAACAATTTGCTTAATTGTTGTAGAGAATTTCAGCAATTGTTGTACAAAATACAACAACTTATTTAATTGCTGTAGAGAATTTCAACAATTGGATGAGTCAAATCCTCACCTTCAACTAGTTCACTAACATCACAATTCCTTTTTTCGATTAAAATATCAATTCATCAAATTTAAAATACCACATTCACTAATGTACAACTGATGAAATTTAAAATACCACATTCACTAATGTACAACTAAAGTGAATTAAAAGTGTAGCAAAATAGTGGTAAAAATGCATATCTACAAGCAGCCCCTTCAATTCATCATTTTCAAAATACCACATTCACTAATGTACAACTGATGAAATTTTAAAATACCACATTCACTAATGTACAACAAAAGTGAATTAAAAATGTAGCAAAATAGTGGTAAAATTGCATATCCACAAGCAGCCCCTTGAATTCATCAATTTCAAAATACCATATTCACTAATGTACAACAAAAGTGAATTAAAAATGTAGCAAAATAGTGGTAAAATTGCATATCCACAAGCAGCCCCTTGAATTCATCAATTTCAAAATACCATATTCACTAATGTACAACAAAAGTGAATTAAAAGTGTAGCAAAATAGAGGTAAAAATGCATATCCATAAGCAGCCCCTTCAATTCATCAATTTCAAAATATCATATTCACTAACGTACAACAAAAGTGAATTAAAAGTGTAGAAAAATAGAGGTAAAAATGCATATCTACAAGCAGCCCCTTCAATTTATCAATATCAAAATACCATATTCACTAATGTACAACAAAAGTGAATTAAAAATGTAGCAAAATAGTGGTAAAATTGCATATCCACAAGCAGCCCCTTCAATTCATCAATTTCAAAATACCATATTCACTAATATACAATAAAAGTGTAGCAAAATAGTGGTAAAAATGTATTTTCACAACCAGCCCATTCTTCATCACTCTTTCAACTCCTTTTTGAATTCGAATCAGCCCATTTATCTGCAATATCAGCCCCTTCATCTTTAAAATTAAAAAAATGAATTTCACATGTAAAAATGAAATATATATAACACAAGACAAATCTTAGAAAGATGGTTAGAATATAATTTTACGTTTACTATCTCCGAACATCAATTCTTTTTCGATAATGGTCTCATTCACTTTTCCCTTTTTCTTTTTTCTATCACTTGACAATGCCACCAAAATTTGTCTCTTTGGTTCTTTTAACATAGTCGGGAGTATATGGATGAGAGATCTTTGATGATGGCCTAATACCTCTCTTAGACTTCATGGTGACGATAGCTTTCTCTAAAGACTCAATCTTAGCATTCATGGTGACGATAGTTTTCTCTAAAGAATCTACTCTGACATTCAATAAATCTATCGTCTCCTTAGTGGATGGAGTTTCTTGAAGACAAGGAACATTCTCATCGATCGGAGAAGATGTTCCTACTCCAAAGCCACCACTAATATCACCGAAGTCTCCTCCTCTTTTGAAATCAACACCATCAATAC